GTGGGCCAGGAGGGAAGTGGCCATGGTCGGCATTGCCCTTGCTGAGCTCCTCAGAACACTAGTCTCTCCTGACACTTAGCAAAACAAAGCAAAACAAAACCCCAACTTCTCTTGGTGTCCCCGTCCTCACCTGTCACAAGGTAAGGGAACTAAGCCTTTAGAGGTTCACTTTCCCAGGGTCACAGGACGTGTGAGCGTGCGTGTGAATAGCTGAAACTGCAGAGTGCTTCCACACACACTGCTCTGTGCGCTTGACTCAGATGCTCACTCATTGATTCCTGCAACAACCCATAATACGGACTATTACTATCCCCACTCTACAGAGAGGAAACTGAAGGACAGAGAGATTCACTGGCTCAAGGCCACCCCGCAATTCCTTGGCAGAGCCTGGATGCAGACCCAGAAAGTTCGGCTCTGTAATCTATTCATGAATCTTAGAAATACAGATACTCAAGGGAAAAAAGTTGCAAAAATACAGAATATGACAACATTTTTCAAAAGCTTAAAACCAGAATTAAATGATGTAGTGTTTGAGAGACAGATATTGTGGTAAAATTATAAAGAAGTTAAGGGCATGATTTTAGGAAGAATTGGGGACAGGGTCACAAGATGACGGGAGGGGAAGGACTTGAGAAGGGCCTGCGGGGGCCTCACTGGTGGGGCAGCTGTTCTACCTCTTACACGGGGTGCAGGTTTGCTGGCGTTCATTTGATTACTACAGTCCATAACTTACACATGCCTCACAACTTATCTTGTATATATCAAACATTCTACAGTAAAGTTAAAGAAAATAGTAATCAGTAAGCTATCCAAATTCTTTAACTTATCCTGGATTTAGGACACATGTCAGTTGGAGAAATCACTCTTCTCTGTTTCCAGAGTAAATCACATTTGGTCACGGATCGCAGAGCCTTGGCATGAATATCAGAGACCTCCTCCCATGGTGGACAGTGGGTGTCGGCATGGCAGGCCTCCTCCCTTTTCGGCCACCGTTTCAGCACCCTCTCCACATAGGACTCTGCGAATTCACGACTGATTATGAACAGGGGGTTGGGGCCGGCGCACCCATGTGGGAGGAGGGAGCCCTCATCATCATTGTGCTGAGGGACCCCTGGAGTTCTTGCAACTGGCAAGCCCTGGGATCTCCCACCCGGTGTTAGCACCGGAGCCTCTTTTCAAAGATGCAGTTGGTTACCTGTGAGGTTGGAAGCATCCGTGGGACTGAGCTGTAACCAGTGGCGGGCATCGGAGTCAGTCACAGCATCCGTGGGCGTGCTCAGTTCCGGGTCTTCCTCGCAGATCTGCCACGGGCTCAGGGACAGCTCTGCCTCAGTGTTGCAGCCCAGAGCAGGGTCACTGCTGACACTGTCACCTGGCACAATGGGAGACACAGTCTGAGACAGCCAAAAGCAGGGAACCAGCACGTCCACAATCCCAGCACACAGGGAACTAAGCAGCTGTCCCAGCAGGAA